TGATACTCCCATCTGAAATTATAAGGATGTAGGGTGGTTACAGATGAAAAGAATGACATTTACGAAGAGCAAAGGGATTCATGGCCATCAACACATGAATGAAAATGCCTTTAATAGCTGCAAGAAACCGGAGATTCATCTGCAGCATCTCAGTTTTTTTAATAAAGCTACTTCACGTTTAGGCTACTTAAAGTCAACATAGCTTTTGTTTATTAGAAGTGTCCCATTTAGACATAATGTAATTTTATTAGCAGATATTTATATTATGAATACCCCTTTTTTGTCAACTATGGTCAATGTGTTATGTACGTATTTTAAAAACAAATTTCAGAGGAGAGTGAAGAAAAAATCATCCTATTTAAAATCAAGTGTGCCCTGTATCAGAACCTAAGATACTAAAAAAAAAAATCCAAGGTATCAGCTAGAAGGAGTTTGATCACCACCTCACAAAACAATAAACACTCATTCTTCTATCACAACTTACCATAAGTCATATGTTAGCTGCCACCATATTTATCCCAGTTGACTAAAATAATACATATTTCATTTCATATGAATGAATGAATGCAGGAAAGCTAAGGCCTTGAAGCATAGCTATCAAGCTTTATAGAAAAAATACGGAGATACATATCAGGAGTGATTAAAATGTGCATAATCCCCTTTGAGCGCATAATCCCTCTAGGAGAGTGACTGCAGAAGTACTTCAAAAGAAGCATGAGTATGAAGATATCCATTGATGAAGATATTCATTGGCAGGCTGTCTAAGTTTCATGAACTTATTTTTAAGTTTAAATTAGGACATATGATCAAACAAGAATGAGTGCACTTATGAGAACAACAAGGAAGAACATTTGGAGCTGAAATTGTTTCAGCATCTCTTGAATGGAAGATGTTGTTCATAAAAGAAATCATCACCTGCCCACTACCGTATGGTGGCCTCCAGTGATCTTCACCTTTTGACATTTATGTCCTTGTGGAACTTCCCCTCTCCCTGAATCAGACAGGTTGGTCTCTGGGACCAAGAGAAAACAGTGATAATGATGATGTTACATATTAGGTTAGGTCATAAAAGACACTGGATTCTTCTTGGATTCTTGAAGGCCTTGGTGTGGGGAAGGCCAGCTGCAGTGTAGGAAGGATCTGCAAGAAGCTCCATGGGAAGGCGCAGATAGAGAAGAAATTGCCAGCCAGTGAGTAGTCACCTTGGAGCAAATTCTTCAAGCCAACTGATAACAGTAACTTCAGCCAACATCTGACTGCAACACTATTAGAAGCTCAGAGCCAGGACATCCTGACTGAGAACTTCCCAAATTTCTGATCTGCAAAAACTAATGATCAGGATTGATTGGAAGCCACTAAGCCTTGGAGGGACTTTTATGCAACAATAGGTAGCTAATACATACAGCATATTACACTTGATGAAGTATTATGTAGTTACCAAAGATAGGGTACCATTTACAACTTTGCATCTCCATCCATTCATAATGTCAGCGAAAAATTACCCCCAAAATTTCCCAGATCATTCTGTATCATGTCATCTCTATTGCTACTGTCCTCTTCTAAATCACCATAAGCATCTTCACTAATCTGGACTAAAACAACCTTTTAATTAGTCCCTCTACTTTGATTCTTGCTTCCCTAAAATCCATTCTCTTGACAGGAACCAGAGTGATCTTTATAAAAGAGAAATCAGACCATGTCACCTTCCACTGCCGAGCCCCTTCAAAATTTCTAATTGCACAAACCCCTGCCTACTCTATCCTTTGCCCGCGTCTCTCAGCCCTGTCTCCTACTCTCTGTCTCATTCTTAATACCCAACAATAAGCAAAATGACAGCATTTTTCTGGTTCGAACAAGCCATGCTTTTGAACTTGTTATTCTGTCTCCCTGGAAAAATCTTTCCCCAGATCACTGCAGTCTGGCCCGGATCCAATGTCACCTACTTATGAACTACTTTGCTTATTGTCCTTTATAGACACATGCACACAAACCACTGTAGTCCCTGAAGGCAGGCTATTCTCTGCCTTGTTCCTTATACTTAGAACAATGCCTGTCACATGATTAATATGTGTGGAATGAATGGACACACTATGTCCATATATGCATAAATAAAAGCAAGGACTAAAGAACACATCTACAAAAAATGAAAAATAATGGTATTTGAGTGAAGGAAATGCGAATTTTTTCCTTTTTAAATTTATTTTTAATATTGTTATACTATTTTTTAAAAACCCTCCACATACAAATAATTATCTGTATTGAAGTGGTATTAAAAGACTACCTACCAGTGGTCACTTTCTGGGGCTGCTGAAAATTTTTCTTCTTATGATGCTTTTTACCTTTTGGCTTTCTGGCTTCATATAAGACACTTCAGGGAATTCTCTAGAAGACCTTAAATTGAAAATGACCCCACTGCATAGCTTGTATAATTCACTCACTCTGTTGTGCTATACAGTTTCCACACAGGAATTATCCTGAATTCTCCACTGGAAGCCCCCTTTAAATATGAATCAAGGCTGGACCAATTCTGATGTCTCACATTCTGTCCCCAAGGGAGAAAGAAAAAATTCTCCATCCTGGCTGTGTTTATGGAAAGTTCTCACAAATATTAAACCTTTGCCAATCTAGAAATATGTATTAAAATGCCCACAAATACATTTTGTTGGGTGTTGTGGAAGGAAACACAGATGTTTATTTATTTAGTCAACACTTAGCCCCTTCCCAAAATGGTGTGAAATAGCTTACAACAAGAAGACATGTAAAAGGGGGAAGTAGAAGGAAGGAGGAGAAGAAACAATTGAGGAACAATTAAATGTGAACAGAATTAGAAAACTGTGACCAGGTAGAAGAGGTACATCATCAGAACCAATATCCTGAAAGTTGATGATCCTTGACAATAAATTTCAAATTCATCTCTGTTTATAAAGCCTATTTTCTGCCTTCCACCAGCTTAAAATTGAGTAGAGGAATTAAGATATAGACATAAATAAACAAAAGAATCAAAGGAAAGCTTTGAGCATCAAAGTGGCTACAATGGAACATTGTATATGTAAATATGCCCCTGGAATGGTGCAGGGACTGCATTGTAAGAATTCCAATAATTGCGTGAAAACTCCAGGCCACTGTCACAACACTCTAAAACACACTGTGATTCATGAGGCTGCCTCCCAAGCTGGACTGCATAGGAGAAGCAGCATAATGTACTGACCAAGAGCATCGGCTTTTGGGCTAGACTCAGAGGAGGTTTGAATACCAGCCCTGGCACCACATAACTGTGTGACCTTGGTCAAGGTACCTTACTTTAATTCCTCGTCTGTAAAATGAAATAATACCATGGTAACATTCTTGTACAAAAGGAATAAATGAGTTACTATATATAATGCATTTCGATCAATGCTAATTAGATCACTAATTAATCATTAGATCACAATTCTAAAAGCACTAGAATCTCCATGTGGGAAAAGAGTAACCAGATTGATTGCTTCCCCATTTAATGCTAGGAATGAAACTTTGCACTATGTTTACAAATTCCATTTAAAAGATGAATTTTCATGTGGGCCCAATATTTATGGGTATGTTTCCCATTCAGCTATTTAACCTGAGAATATAAGTTTTTCAGGAAATGTTGGATCATGAATCTAGAAAGGATCTGATACATTAGCTGTTGGATCCTTATATAGCTGGGAAATTGGGGCAGAATAGGGTTGTGGGTGGCTGTGCTCCACAGTAAGTGATGCCAGAGTCCAGACTAGTGTTGACTAGACGAGGACTGATTATTCAATACTCCAGGCTTTCATGACATCCTAAAGTCACGTCAATCTATCCAGAACTTACGAACTCAATCCATATTTATCATGCTCTACTATGGAAGGAACTATGGTAGATGCTGGAGATAAAATGGTAGGCAGAATGTCTGATTGCCGTGCTTCCAGAGGTCACACTCTAGCAGGGATTGCGGGCATTTATCAAATGAGCATGGAAATAGATGCAGCTGTAAGTGTGTCAAAGTCTACATGGTCTTATGAACCCAGTTAATAGAGAAGGAATTTGGCCCAGTCAGGGAAGGCTTCCCCAAGGGCATGAGAACTGAGCCAAATCTGGAAAAGGTTCAGGGAAAGAAAGAAGAGTGCACGAGGTAGAGAAATCCGCAAGAACCCCGTGGCAGGGGGGAGAACAAGAGGCCAGGTGGTTGGAGCACCGGAAGTGAGGATCAAGAAGACACACATAGGAGGAGATTGGGGAAGTAGTTCAGGGTCAGGTCTCTGCAGTCCTTGAATCACCTTAAAGATTTTGGTTTTTAAAATAAATTGATTTATTTAATTTACTTAACAGCTAGTGTATCAAATCCTTTCTAGAAAAAATTGAATTAATTATTTAAAAATAATAGTTTTTGTTATATTAAAGTAAATGGGAAGCTATTGGAGATTTTTAATGAAGGGCATGACATGAATCAAAATTTCCTATTCAGAGGATTAGCTTACATTCGTGTGCTGACTGAAGGACAAGAGTAGCCACGGGGAGGTTCTGGGACGGCGACAGAGCACACGGGGAAATGTGGATGGATTCACGACAGAGGCATTAAATCAATAGGTCTTGGTGCAGGTTAGACTCGGAGGGCTTGGGGGGCAGAAATGGGAGATACATGAGATGCCCAGTCTGTTTTGCACAATGGGATGACTGGGAGTGGTGGCAGGACCTGGGAGAGGGAATACAGAAAGAGAACTGGAGTTCTGGGGGGAGCAGATGGGAGAGGGGTACTAAGGTGCCAAAGTTGAGGAAAGTTTTACAGACATCAAATCCATTTCGTTTGGGTTTTTTAGTATTTTATTGTGGCACACAGGATAGAGAATGGTACAGTGTTCTTACTTCAAATCTCAAACCAACCAGCTGTTTCCATTTGGCTAAAGTTACTTTTTTTTACATGTAGTTTGCATCTGTCTGAGACTTACCATGTGCAGCATCCCATGTCTAACGAACATAAATGTGAAAAGCCTGGTTTCTGAAGTGACTCCTAGTCTATTCAGGAGCTGATATCCTAACAATCTTCATAGTTCAAACCCATAGCAGCATGGTAGATAAAGAAACATTTTACCCATTTGCAGGGTGACATATAATCTTAACTAGTAATAGGTAGTGTGAAGAACTTGATAACTTTAAATGGAGGCCACTTTGCTTTTAGGTTAAAGTTGGCTAAAGAAGAAATATTGAATGACATTAGCTGACCAAGCAATTGTGTAAGAACAGAAGCAGAACAGCAGATAATCAATAATTTCTTCTACATTCCATGTCAAATATACGTGCAAGAGCTTTCATAACCTTAGAGTGGACAGGCTGAGAGGGGTGTGTTATTTGATGCAATGTCTAACCAGTTAGAGCTATCGCTGAAATCTCAGTATTTCCTGATAAAGGCATACAGAACAATAGCAATGCAACCTACAAGTGTATCATCTTCCCCCTTAAGTGACTGGTAACAATTCCATTACCTCTATTTGTAGTTTTTCAGAAGTTTAAAATGAGTGGCATTAAGTGTCATTTACTTGAGGCAACAGTATCAAGCTAACACACTGAATCATGAGCTCAGGATTGCAGGCAACATGTTTGCAATGGCAAATGACCTCTTCTTCTCTCCATCCACAATTATACATTGATAAAAATTACTCTTAATTATCTCATTTGCTCAGGTTTCAACTTCTTCCCACAGTATTTAGGCTGTATTTTTTAAAATATGGTTACAGTGATGGATGGGTGGGATTCACATTCTACCCATATTACATTTACTATTATATACTAGCAGTAAAGTTATCTCTTTACCGTAAAGGGTATATTTATCACAAAATTTCCAAATTGCCTCCAAGAAAGCCATTTCCCGACGTTAGATAGTACATTTTAGAGGGCAAAGTAAAGGAAAAAGAACCCCAGGGACTCTCATTTACTCAAGTTTATGATCAGTAATATTTTGGAGGGGAAAGAGTTCATGAATGGCCATGACTTAACTGTAGCCCTCAGAATCACCAATTAAGGAGAAAAATGCACCGTAACTGTTAAAATTTTGACTTAAGAAATTTGGAGATCAAATTTCTATATGACTCATATTGGTGCCTTCTTTAAGGTATTTTAATTAAAGTCAACAACCACAGCAAGAATTGTCATTCAGTGTAACTTTATTTACTATTTATTGCACATAATTTGAGGTCTTTAATTTCTAGCCACCAAAGGTTCAAAGGACTATTTCTTCCATGAAGTTTAACAGTAACATTAGTGAATTCATTTATTCATGTTTTTTTTTAATTGTAAACATCTGAATTATTCACATGGCCATAAATCCTGAACTCATAAGCGTGGACCATGCACAGGCTGGCAGCAAGCCAGGAAGCCACTCTGCAAGCAAACAGATACTCTGCCTAAGGAGAAAAGTCATAGCACAACATTTAATGTCCAACCTAAGTCATCTCAGAATTATACATATATTGACTTCTTAATTCATATAGTATCTGGAACTCAACTGGTTGGTTGGTGATGGGGTTGACCTGATTTTGGGAGAATTATTCCTGGAGTAATTAAGGAAAGGGTAGGGGGCTCAATCTTTCTTCTTAGTTGCCTGCTCCTCCCCAGAACCTTCATCTTTTTTCTCATCCTCCTCGGCTTCTTTGGCTTCTTCTCCTTCTTCGCCTTCCCCTCCTTCTTCTTCCTCCTTTGCTTCCTCTGATTCTTCCTTGGCAGCTGTAAGATAAGAAGAAAACTTACAAACGCCAAGCCAGAGAAAGTCCAGTCAAAACACTTCTGCTCAGGTTTTGTGTGAAAACCCAGATGTCAGAACACATCCCACACACCTCTCAGCTCTGTGCTCCCTAAACACATGCAACTGCCAGGAATAATTTGCCACTGAGCAAAGATTTAAATAGAACGAGACAACTTCTAGGTCCAGGAAGCCCTGCTCCTCTCCAGGACCTCGGTTTTTCTTTTATTATGTGTTTGGTATTCATTTTTGGTCCTTAGAACACCAACAGGCTGAGTTCAATGAATAGATTTTTTTGTAACAGGACTAAAAAGACAGCAGGAGGAGGACATTTTCAAATGTCACTTTCACAAAATTACCAAGCTCAGTGGAGATGTGCTCCCCTGGGAGGACAGCCAATCTGAGAAATCAGGTGCTTCCTAAAGGTTCATTGATTAAGCAGTTAAAGGTGTTCTTTAAGGGCCCCAACTCACACAAGAGCAAAACCTCCTTGGCATATCCTATCCATCTCCTAACAAATATCCCCGCCGAGTTTGCACCTGAAATTACAGGGGTTCCTTTCTTATACCTTCTTCCTCTTCAGCCCCCTCCTCTTCCCCCGCCTCTTCCTTCTCCTTCTCCTCCTCCTCGGCTTCTCCTTCGGAGCGGGGTTCGTCCTTGGCCTCCTCGGCCTTGGCAGCCTCGATGGTCTCCTCCACCTCGATCTGCTCCTCTTGGACGTGGCTGGTGTAGTAAGATGGGAAGGAGCGGACGGACATCAGGTAAGGGCTGCTCTGTAAGCCGCCGTAGGCAGACCGGCCAAAGACCTGGGAGCTCTGGGAGTAGCCGCTGGTTATGCTTCCCACACTGGTGAAACTGAGCCGGGTCTCCTCACCTTCCAAGAGTTTCCTGGGGTGACAGGAGGAGAGTGGGGGTGAGTAAACACAGACGCAGGAAGTGTGCTGAATGACGTGCCCTGAACCCACTCTTCGTCACCTTTCCCTGATACCGCCCTCACTGGCAAAGGCAAGCAGGGTTGGAAATTATCAAAATTTAGTGACTGAGGATGTTGCAACTGAGACAAAAAAAAAAAATCTAAATAATCCCGCCGATTAGATTCAAAATGTAATGGGAAGCTAAAACCAGGACTTGTTATTACAATATTCAATGCTTATATATTTGTCTAAATACGTTCTTCTTGGAAAAAGCTCAGGAAAACACACACAATTATTTCAAATGCCTATTCTTGAAGGTTTCTGATTCAACATAAATGAAATCTGATTTTTCTTCCTAAGGCTGAATGGCGGCCCGTTTTCACCTGTAGGCTGCAATCTCGATGTCCAAAGCCATCTTCACGTTGAGGAGGTCTTGGTATTCTTTCAGATATCGAGCCATTTCACTTTTCGTGGTTCTCAGTTCATTTTCTAATTTGTTGATTGTGTCCTGTGGAAAGGCCAAAATAGAAGAAATCCCAGCAGAAATCCCTACTGCTCTTATTTTACTGTAGTATAGTTGCAAAAGCCTAGGTTTAATTAAAATCGAAATGCACACCTGAGGTAAAAATCACCCCTAAGATAAAACACCTTTTCTCTTTTTTAATCTATCCTTCCTTGCCTAATAAAGATTCAGTTTCAGGAAGCATGAATGAAAACAGCAAGCAAAGACACTGGTGGGAGAAACGTTCTTTTTTCTTTAATTAATACAGTCTAATGATCATCATAAAATGCCTGCAAGGAACGAAATCGATTTTTTTAAAACTTTGTTTCTTCATCCAGGTCACAGGCAAGAAATGACGAAGTAGCTAGGTTTTAAAAATATTTTTTTATCTGAAGTATTTTCTATGTGTCTATACTTTCTTCTCCTTAGAAGATGGTGGTCCTTAGAAAAAGAAATGTTTTACTGTGAACCTCATTACCTACTATGGTTTTGCCTGTATTTCTATCTGCCTGCTAAGATAAAGGAGTGGTTGGTACAGGAATAAAGCACGCTGGTCACAGGCCCCCTTCAGAACTACGAAGAGCTCTTTCTGTATTTGTTAACTAGGTGGTTCCTTCTACGCTGCAAAGCAGCTGGTGGTTGGTTATTGAGGCAGGGCAGGAGAGGGGCAGGAGAGGGGCAGGCCCGAGGCAACGCCCAGCTCCCGCCCCCACTCCCACTGCGCCCATCCCAACCCCCACCACCCCCACACCCCCCTGCAGGGCCGAGCGGCTTTACTGCGGAACAGATTCATTCAGCTGCACCAGGCACGTCTAGCCAGACTGCAGTGGCGCCGCTACCCCCGCCCTCCGAGGATCCCACCCCTCCCACCTCCAAGTATCTGCATGCAGATGTCTGCTCTCCACTTTCAGGGCGCGCCCTCAACTCCTCCCCACCCCACCCCCAACGCAGCCCCCTTCAAACCCCCACTGCGTTTCGCAAGGCGCCGTACCTGCATAGCACTAATGTCGGCGTTCTGCTTGTCTTCCAGCTCCTGCAGCTGCTTCTCCAGCGCTTCGTTCATGCCCCTGCACGCTTCGATCTCCAGGGTCTTGGCCTTGAGCAGGCGGCGGCTCTCGGACACCTCGTCCTTGGCGGCGCGCACCGCGTCGGTGTTCTTGGCGGCGCTCTCGGTCAGCACGGTGAAGCGGCTCTTGAACCACTCTTCGGCGTTCTGCATGTTCTTGGCAGCCAGCTTCTCGTACTGTGCGCGGATGTCCTTGAGCGCGGCAGAGAGGTCGGGCTTGGAGGCCACGTCCATCTCCACGGAGATCTGCGCGTACTGGATCTGCGCCTGCAGCTCGGCGATCTCCTCTTCGTGTACTTTCTTCAGGAAGGCGATTTCGTCCATCAGGCTGTCGATGCGCTTCTCGAGCTCGGCGCGGGCCAGGGCCGCCTCATCGGCCCCCTTGCGCGCCTCCATCAGCCGGCCCTCGGCGTCCTCGCGACTCAGCACCTCCTCCTCATAGCGCGCCTGCAGGTTGCGCAGAGTCTCCTCCAGCCCTTCGCGCTCGCCCTGCAGCGCTTGCTTCTCGTTGGTGGCGTCTTCCGCCGCCAGGCGCAGGTCGCGGATCTCCTGCTCGTACAGCGCCCGGAAGCGGGACGGCTCGGAGTGCTTCTGGCGCAGCACCAGCAGCTCGGCCTCCAGCACCTTGTTCTGCTGCTCCAACTCGTGCACGCGCTCGATGAAGCTGGCGAAGCGGTCGTTGAGGTCCTGCAGCTGCGCCTTCTCCTGGGTGCGGATGGACTTGAGGTCGTTGCTGATGGCGGCTACCTGGCTCAGGTCGAGGTTCTCGAGACTGGGCATCAAGGAGCCAGAGCTGGACGAGTAGCTGCGGCGCACGGACAGCGAGGAGGAGACGGGCGCCGAGTAGCTGGAGTAAGCGGAGCGCGCGGTGCTGTAGCCGCTGCGCACGCTGGAGATGTGCACCCGCGGTGCCTCCACGTAGCGCCGCTTGTAGGAGGTCGCGTAGTACGGCTCGTAGCTGAAGGAGCTCATGGTGGCGGGCGGCGCCCCTCCGGCCGGCGGCGGAGATGGGGGCCTACAGAGGAAGGAGAACGGGGATAGAGGGAAAGGGGACGGCGGATGGCTGTGTGCGGCTCGGCGCGGTCCAGCCACCCCTACTTATACGCGGGGAGCTCTGACGCAGCCGGCGAGGGCGGGCGGCGCCCGAGGGGGGCTGGGGCGCTGCTGCGGCAGCCGGGGCGCTGCGCCAAGGCCGGGGCGGGCCCCGCGGCGGCATGGCTGCGGCTCTCGGCCTCACCGCTGCGCTCGGAGGCCTCGGTTCTCCGAGACCCCATACCCCGTGCTCATTTTATTGCCTTACTCGCCCACCTACCCCAAGCCTTGACCCTGTACCTCGGACAGCCCTCCCCCGCAGCTCTCCCCTTCCCCACCCGGGGCCTCTGCTGGTGACAGGCGGGACCTCTAGGGCAATGGAGATGCAAATGGTAGTCTAAAGTTGCATGTATGCAGCATCTGTTCAAGAAAGTTTAATACTTCTTTGTAGCTGTTTGTGACGCTTTGATTCATCTCCCTTTCTGTTGGTTATTTTTATGTTTCTTTAGCGCGCTGCTTCTACACACACATACACACACACACCTGCGGCACTGCAGGTGTGGGTTTTAGCATTTCTAAACCCTTAGAGCAGTGAACACCAGCCCTTTAGGGTCCCTAGAGGTTTCTTTTTTCTTCCTGGGGAATGAAGCCCCCCGTTTGCTAGCGTGGAGGAGGAGAGCCGGAAATGAGTTTGAAACTAAACCGGCAGAAAACCGCCCCAAAGGCAGCGGCGAGCTGTGCAGCGGGGTACTTGCGAGGGTGGTACGCTGCCTGTCTCCTCTTCCAGCTCAGTCCGTTTGACCGCGCCGGCTCCATCGCAGGAAGCCCCTTGGCCTCCTTGTACATCTGTGCAGCCCCCAGCCTGATTATTTCAGCAAGCTGTGCAGGTGGTGCTTTTCATGGGGAGGCTGCGACTGCCAGCCCTGAGCGCCGGCGCGGTCCCCCGGGAAAGGACCTCAGACCCAGACATCTTCCCCGCGCACCCTTTTGAATAGGTATCACATGCAGTCAGTAATCCGTGGATTTCCTTTAGCAAACACCCCGATCCCTAAAACTGTGCACGCCATAATGCACACGGACACCGCCCCGCAGTTTGCCGATCTTTCTCCCACACCTCGGGTCAGGGAGTCCTCCGCTTTCATAGAGCGGGTGCAGAGATTTATATAGGATGCCTCAGATTTTTTCTAAGAAAAATTTAATTTTGTTAGATTTGTATAAGGGAGCATTGGACATGTAACTCGGCACTTTTCAAAAACAGAAGCCGAATCTTTTGTCCCTGTGATGCCGAGAAAGGGAAGGACGTGCAGCGGGTACCCCAGGTGCTCCCACAGGCACAGCACTCCTCTCCCGACAGGATGGTGAGGCTCCCCCTCTGAGGTCCTAATGCAACTAGAGAAACCTGCGATTCTGATACCCCACCATCTCCATGGCAGAGGGAAAGACGGCAGCAGAGAACTTCCATGGGGTTTCTAAACAATCTCCAGTGTCTCAACGCAACTTTAGAAACATGAACATTTATAGTTTAAATCCATCAAGAGTTCCATCCATGATTAATCGTTCTAGGATTTCAAGACTAAGCCCTTAGGCTGTCCTGATTTTTGTGTGGCCCTGGCAGACTGGTAGAGCCTGTATTCTGATGACTTTCTATAGCCCAGGTACTCTGTCTTCTCACTCATCAGTGAATCAACAGTGGGAAAGGCTTCTCTGGGGAGAGGGATGGTGGAGAGAATCTGGGTAAGTCCTATTTGTCTGGGAGCAGTGGATGAAATGTGGTAGAATGAATTCTTTTTTTTACCCTGTCCGATGTAAATCACCTTGTTGCACACTGTGTGTGCATCTGCCTACACCACACTCTTAGGATTCATGAATTCATTTGTGCCAGCTCCCATTCCCCGGAGGTTCAGGTCACCCTCAGAGGCCTTCAGTCCATCAGCGTTTTTTTGCCACAGCTCCTGGCAGAAGCCTTTGACTGCAGAGGAGGCTGCCCAGGAAGAGGGAGGCGGCTGATGGATGCTGCAGCGGCAGATTGCTGCAGAGGGGAGAAACCTGTGGGTACCATCCTTTGAAATGGCTGAAAAGGGAGGCTTGCTGGAACCCTGAAGGGTGGAATGGAGAGGGCAGGGGCCCTGGTACTTGCTGACCCAGGTGAGCAGGGAGTGGGGAGAGAAAGGGGCAGATCAGCTGTACATACGAAGGCTACATCTCTGGTCTTTTGAAATAGCTCCTGACACACCCACCTCCTTTTCCACTACTGCCTGGCTTTAAAGGGACTTCTGAGCGCAGCCGGTGTCTGGTTTGGGTTACCCTACCTGCAGGTGTTTGCCTCTTTCTGTCCAGTCATCCTCCTGTTTAAATCTTCCCAGCATTTTGCTCTGAATGCCCATGTAGCATTTGTCCTGTATGTCAAAGCAAAGGTCAGATGAGTAACTTGAGAAGGTCTGTTCAGAAAAAGAATCTTGACTTTTCCTTCCCCCGACCATAAATGTTTTTGCATTAGTGCTGTTTGTAGTGGGTTCCTTATTTATTTGGAAGGTGGTAGGGTCTTGTTACACACCTGTGTGTTTGTTCCCTTTGAAGTATATTCTCCACCGACATGAAACTGGTTGAGGGCTGACAACAAAACACACGCCTACGAGGGACAAAAGCAAATATAGAAGTTTTGTCCAGTTTATTCATGAAACTCATTAATAGAATTCCTATGACTCTGGGTACCTACCCCTAATATATCCATAATCCCCTAAGTGACTATTTGAGGTCATTTAGTGAAAAAGTAAAAAATCTTCACATTACCCCAGAGCCTTTGAAGGATAACTCTTAGAACCACTGAAAAGATCCTGCTTCTTTTCTTCAGTAGAGCCCAAAGCTGCAGATGGATGGGACCTAGTGACTTCTCATTTCATCGCTCTAAAACTTTGCACAATAGGAAGTTATGCATGGCATTTGTTTTGAAAAGCTCCAGCTTTAGGCTGAAATTCTTCAGAGGCAGGCCTCATACAAGCATCAGTCTGGGAGTGAAGAGATCAAAGTTCTCCCACCGGTGAGCTGTGGGAATCATCCTAATCCACAACAAGTTACAGCTCCCTTTACCCCACCATCAAGTAGATACATCAATGTCAGCAAAACTGGCATCAGTTTGTCCATGCAAGGGGGAATGAAGGACCTAAATACACACAGAACACCTGTATTATTTAATAAGTGCAAAGTCTCCATGAGATGATGAACAGCTGTGGCCCAGAGAGGTTAAGTAATTCACCAACTCACTCAGTTACTTTTTAAACCTGAACTCTACCTGCTTCCAGTCTGCACATTACATTTACTGCAGCCAGTGGCATTTGCTGCTCCCATAGATCTGTGGAATCTGATAACTGCATGCTGCAACAACATCTAGTGCACATGTAGTAAGTAAACCTCTCATGTTTGGAGGACAAAACAGTATCAGCTGATTTACACCATCAGGGAACTGTTAATGAGCGTGTTTCATTTGGGTAGCTAGTAGTGGCAATAAGCTGTCGTTGTTGTAGGTTTCTTAAACATCCCAACATAAAATAAAATGGAGGCTACAAGTGGAACATGGTAATGTATAACTGATGATACCACCTTGTAAACACTAAATATCAGCTTACAAAACACCTTTTCTGAAATTAATGAGCTAAAATGCAACTTAGCTGAGGTAAACTCTATAAAATGGCCACACCATGACTTCACATTTTTTCTAATGAAAAGACCTTTATATTCTGCCATTGTAAATAGGTTTTCTTGTTTTTTAAAGTGACCTTAAAAAGTGCTATTATGAATAAAAGAAAAAATGCTGGCACTCTACATCTTATTATTGCTGTTTATCATGCTGTCTACAAATCTTTAACTTCTTCAAAAGAAACAAGAGTAAAATTAACAGGAAATGTATTGTTTGTAGAAGCCACAAATATATTTCCTCTCTCTTCCTGGTAACCAGTTTATGTCTTTATATATTATCCTTGCTGTAGGAATCATCATACAGATCTCTTGGGAAATATGTTTGGAAGAATACTTTACCCATTGTAATATAAAATATGCCTGATTTTATAGCATCACGTTGTGAAGTAATGCATCATAAAGTATGCTATGTGGCTATATAAAATTTAGACTGAGGCAGGAACAGGATTGTCATCTGAATAGATTAAAGATGAAGAACAGGTTTTTATTCAGAACACGTGCCGTATTAGAAATGACAGGAACTTGCTGCTGTCCAAGCAGAAATGATGGTGATAGGTTCACGCCCCTAAATGCTTGCTCCACGGAACTAGCCAACGTAATGTATTTTCTCCCCAGAGGTCCATTCTATAGTGCCTTGCCAGTAATGACAGCCACCAGACGCAGAGGTAAGGGGGTATGTTGGGGACGGCAAAGGGCTTAATTTGCAGTCATTTCAGGCAGGTCACAGCCATATCGGTCAGAACCGACAGTAGCAACCCTGTTGGCTCAGTTGTATTTCCTGACTGCAAGGCAATAATTGCTGTTTCTGCAGTTTGGTTCCTGACTAGCCACAAACACATTCCATGCAGCACCTGGTTTCTTTGCTGACCTTTACAGTGGTTTAATAAATCAACTGGAGGAATGTGAGGTTTACTGTTTGCCAAGACAGCGGATCAGCATTTCCATCTGCAAGAGACAAAGCCCTAAGGTTGGCTCCTCCCTGGCCACGCTGGAGCCCATCCAGGGCAGCAGTGTGCCTTCTCGCCAGCGCTTCACTGCTGCACGAATGCAGCAAATGCTGCTTCAGACTTGCAGATGGGCGGATCCCTGGAGTCCTACCGTAAAGCAGGCAGGCTACTCGCCCCAGGATATGTAACGCAGGTGTTTGGTAATTTGAACCCATAAGAGACTGGCTTAGAAAAGCGAAACTTGATTGTGTCTAAATGGCTTGTTGATTGATGAAATAACTCCTATGTTCATTCATCCATTGAGTCACCAAGTGTCAGTGGAACATTTATAATGTACATAATTTGGTATAAGTGCCAGGAGGTGGGGGAGGCGCACAGGGAGTTCTTGCATAGTCCCTGA